AACTGTTGAGCCATATGGAAAAAAAATTGGATCTATTCTCTTGACACCAATAAAATCTGAGTGAATCAAAGATTTAAATGACAAAATCAAATCACAGAGGCACAAGAAAAAACATGAAAGAATTATTTTATAACCTTAAGAGTGGGGAAGGCCTAAACCATTACATAAAATCCAAGTCATAAAATAACTTTGGTAAATTTTATTATTAAAAAAAATTTCTGGCTCATTGTCGCAGCATATATACTAAAATTGGAATGACACAGAGAAGATTAGCACAGTCCCTGGGCAAGAATGATATGCAAGTTTGTGAAACATTCTATATTATTTAGTCTGATTATCATACATTATTTGTATCAAAACATCACTATGTACTCCATGAATGTGTAATTATTATTTGTCAATTAAAGAAATAGAATAAAATAATTGCTGCATAACAAAATCTTCTATAAGCAAAGTAAAAAGTTAAAGATAAAACTGGGGAAAATACTTGCAACTCATTTCACAGATAAGAGATAATTTCCCTACAAAAAGAGTTACTATAAATATAAGACCAACAACTACAGGAAACTGGACAAAAATTATGAATAGTCACAGAAAAGGAAATACATACGATTTTAAATCCACTCAACCTCACTGATAAGAGAAGTACAAATAAAACTACATTGGACAACAATGTTTTACCCATCAGATTGATAACAATATGTCTGCAAGGTCTGCAAACTACAGCCCCATTGGCCTGTTTTTGTATGGCCTAGGAGTTAACAATGGTTTTTATGTTTTTGAAGTGTTATAAATAAAACCAAGAAGAATATGTGACAGAGAACGTAGTGGACAACAAGCCTAAAATATTTACTACTGGCCTTTTCCAGGAAAAGTTTGTCTATCTCTAAGAAAATGCTCACTGGAGCATTTTGGAATGCTGAACCAGTATGTATAATGCAAATCTGAAAAAAGTCTGAAATCCAAAACACTTCTCATCACAAACATTTTCAGGTAAGGGATACACACACAACCAGTTTTAGGCTTTAGTCTAACAAAAATATTGGCTGATAAAAGTTGTGAGAGATTCCTTATTAATAAAGAGATTAATGATTCCTTATTAATGAAGAGATGAAATGATTCTCCTTCAATCTGAATAGTACATTAAAGGCTTATAATCAGTAAAGTTCGGTTCCTATCAAATCATTAATCACAAATAGGTAGAAGCCAAATTAGTGAATCTTTCTTAAAATGGAAAGTATTCAAACAAACAAATTGCATGTGATACTTCCTATCTGCATTAAGAATATTTGCTCAATCAAAAAAAAAAAACTACAGGAATTTAGTATAAAATGAACAATTTTAGAAGAGTTAGAATATACTTCACCAAGAAAAGGAGATACACAATTCTATTTTAAAAGGGATTTAAAACTATTTAGGTTTATTACCAGGCCCAGACCATATCAGAGGTGTATTTTCCCAACTGTTTAAGAACAAGTATCATCAGCACAGGTGGTTAAACATTTCTAATCTGAAAATCTGAAATCTGCAATGCTCCAAAATCTGAAACTTTTTGAACACAGTCACGATGCCACAAGTAGAAAACTCCATACCTGACCTCATGTGATGGGCCTCCATCAAAGCACAGGTGTACAATACACAGTTTATTCAGTGTCCCCAAGGGGAAAAAAGACCCTCCAAGCCCCTTTCTGCTGCAATATATCTTTTCAACACACACCCAGATAACTCAACCCAAGCATGCCCACAAAGGGTAATAAAATGATTCAAAGTACACAAACTTTGTTTCACAGACACAATTACTAAAAATATTATATAAAATTACCTTCAGCTGGGCATGATGACGTGCACCTGTAATCTGAAGTGAGTGCACCTGTAATCTCAGCTACTGAGGAGGAGGCTGAGGCAGGAGGATCACTTGAGCCCAGGAGTTCAAGACCAGCCTGAGCAACATATTGAGATCTTGTCTCAATAAAAAATAAAATAAAATAAAAATTACCTTCTAGCTGCTCTACGTAGAAGGTGTACATGAAACAAATGAATTTCATTTTAGACTTGGGTCCCATCCCCAAGATACCATTATATATATGCAAATATTCCAAAATCTAAAAAAAACCCAAATCAGAAACAATTCTGTTCTCAAGCATTTTAGATAAGGGATACTCGACCTGTACTATTTAATGTTCTAGAGCAGGAGTCCTCAAACTTTTTAAACAGGGGGCCAGTTCACTGTCCCTCAGACCGTTGGAGGGCCATTGGTGAGTGTGGCGCACATTCCACACATGCGCACTGTGGGCCTGGGACGAGTCCACTGCTAAGCAGGACAGGCAGCGGTGGCAAAAACACCTTGCAGGCTGGATAAATGTCCTCCGCAGGCCGCCTGTGGCCCACGGGCCGTAGTTTGAGTACTCCTATGAGCATAGAGAAAGCTTCCAAATTCTTTTCAGAGAAGTAGCCTAACACTGGTGCAAAGTTCTGACAAAGATAAAGTATAACAGACAGACTGACATATCACATGACTATAGGGCAAAAATTTCTGAATAAAAAATTGTTAACAGATAGAATCCAGCATATAAAAAGAATAAACCAAAGTGACCAGGTGTGAGATTCAACCAGACATGCAAGAATAGCTTAATATTTTAGGAAGTCAATATAATTTGTGATATCAATGGATGAAAAAAATCATAAGATTATCTCTATAGGTTCTGAAATATTTGACAAAATTAAAAGTCCACTGCTCATAAAAAAGTAGAAATAGACTGGCATTCACTTAATGCACACAGAAACTGGCTACCTTAAAATCAAAACCATAAAAATATCATGTTTAATGACAAGATAAAATCATCTCTAGTAACATAAGAAATAAGATAAGAGTGTTCACTATTGGCAGGGCATGGTGGCTCAAGCCTGTAATCCTAGCACTCTGGGAAGCAGAGGCGGGCAGATTGTCTGAGCTTAGGAGTTTGAGACCATCTTGAGCAAGAGCGAAACCCTGTCTTTACTAAAAAAAATAGAAATAAATTAGCTGGACAACTAGAATACACACACACACAAAATTAGCTGGGCATGGTGGCACATGCCTCTAGTCCCAGCTACTTCAGAGGCTGAGGAAGGAGGATCACCTGAGCCCAGGAGTTTGAGGTTGGTGTGAGCTAGGCTGATACCACGGTACTCTAGCCCAGAGCAAAAGAGCCAGACGGCTGCAAAAAAAAAAAGTGCTCACTATCATCACTTACTTAGCACTGTTCTGGAAGTAGTATCTGATGACATTAGAAAGAGAAATAATGGAGGCAAATGACCATTATTAAACAATAATATGATTTCATATCTAGAAAGGCCAAAGGAATAAAAAACCAAAAAATTGGTAAGAACAAGAGATTTCAAAGGGTAATTATAAATCAATATATTATATAAAGTTTCTTTTCTAATAACCAGTTAGAATACATAATGAGGCCGGGTATGGTAGCTCACGCCTGTAATCCTAGCACTCTGGGAAGCTAAAGTGGGTGGATCATTTGAGCTCAGGAGTTCAAGACCAGCCTGAGCAAGAGCGAGACTCTGTTTCTACCAAAAATAGAAAAAATTAGCTGGGCATGGTGGCACATGCCTGTAGTCCCAGCTACTTGGGAGGCTGAGGCAGAAGGATTGCTTGAGCCCAGGAGTTTGAGGTTGCTGTGAGCTAGGCTGATGCCATGGCACTCTAGCCTGGGCAAAAGAGTGAGACTTTGCCTCAAAAATAAATAAATAAATAAAAAAGAATACATAATGAAAGAAAAGATCCAATTTACAACCTCACTTACAAAGAGTATATAACTAGGAATAAAATTACTATAGTCTGTATAAGATATACATGAAAATAATTTAATATTGATACTTAGGCAACGTAAAGGGTGATCTGAATAAAGGAAGACAGATCCTGTCTTTGGGACAGGAAGAGCCTATTCTGGTAAAGGTAAAAACCTAACAATAAAAAAGACTATTAATTATAAAAGTTTCTTCGCTATTTAAAAAAAAATTAAGCCAAAAGACAAAGGATCTGACTTAGGAGTCATTTGATCTGTCTCCTAAAGTTTCCTTTACCCTAAAATTTGTGAAGATAATTTTTGATGTTGAAAACTGGCTTGAACTGTTTCATTAAGGGCAGGCTGATTTACACACAATAAAATTCATCCTTTTAAGTATACAGTTTAATGAGTTTTGATAAATGCACAGTCATGTAACCCCAACCACAATCAAGATACAGGACATTTCCATCACCTCTATAAATTTCCTCGTGCCCCTTGCAGACAGTCTCCTCCATCGCTCTGGCAGTCACTGATCTGATTTTAGGCCTCATTGTTTAGCGTTTTCCAGAATGTTATATAAAAAGATTATATTGCACATAGCCTTTTGTGCCTATCTTCTTTCCCTTAGATAAGGCTTTTGAGCTACAACCGTATTGTTGCATGTATCAGTATACGCATCTTTTTTACTGCAGGATAGTACTCCATTGTCTGGTAGTAGCATGATTAATTTAGGTTATTTCCATTTTTAAAATTTTATAAGTAAAGCAGCTATAAACATTCATGTACAGGTTTATATATAAACACACTTTCATTTTTCTTAGGTAAATACCTAGGAGTGAGATTGCTAGGTTGTGTGGTAAGTATGCATTTAAATGTCTTCCAAAGTGGTTGTACCTTTTTGCATTTTCACTGAGAATGTATGAGATTTCCAGTTGTTTTATATACTGGTACTGTCCTACATCTTTTAATTTTAAGCAGTCTAGTGGATGTGTAGTAGTATTTCATTGTGGTTTTAATTTGCATTTTCCTAATAACTAAACATAACAGTAATTTTTCATGTGGTTATTTGCCACCCATATGACTTAGATGTTCAAATATTTTTCTCATTAAAATTTGTTTTTTGTCTTTTTTAGTGAGTTGTGGAGTTCTTAATATATTCGGAATCAAATCCTTTACCAGAGACATATTTTGAAAATATTTTCTCCCAGTCTGTGGTTTATTTTTTTTAGTAGAATCTTTTATATTCAGAAAAAAAAAACCAAAACAAAAAAGTTTTCCAACCACACACAGGAGGGGTATGGGTAGAGGGAGGTGTCTGTCCATCCAGTCACGGCCCCCAGCCCATGTGGTTTTGGCAGCAATAAGGGGTATGGGGTAATGGCCCCCCAAATAAAAATGGTATATGTGTGCATGGGAAGGAGAGGGGTGCAAAAGCTGTGGGGAGTGATGGGGGAGAGGAACAGATGAAGTCAGTACTGGGAACGCCGCAGGTGGGAGGCCATTTCATAACATTTCTTGTTGATCAAACCACCGTGGACACCTTCATTGCCCATCAACCGGACTAGCATCTTGGCAGTCATGGTGACACTGATGTTGAAGGTGGGAGCTCCCCCGGTGCTCTTGGTACGAAGATCCATAGTAAATTCCCCATCCTGCAGCAGGAAGTCCTGGATCACAGAACATTTCTGGCCCCCAAGTGTCAGCCCATTCGCAAAAAAACTTGACCGGTCTTATTGACGAAGGTTTTCCCAGGACGGCAGCCCAGGCAGAGGGCGAGTCCGAGTCCTTTGTAGCCCACGATGGCCGCATCCTGACAGTTCCCATTCGCCTTGAGGTTGTCGCTGTAGGCGTTCCACCCGGCCATGGCGCTGCTACTGGGGCTGCTCTTGGCGCTGCTGCAGGGCCCACGGGCTGGGCTCTGACGGGCGGGGGAAGGCAGAGAGCTCGGGGCACGCGCTGCCTTCTGGACCGCAGCTCCACTAGTTGTCCCAGTCTGTGGTTTATCTTTCCATTTTCTTAATATGTTTTTGAAGAGTAGCAGAGCTTTTAATTTTGATGATATCCAGTTTATCAATTTTTTCTTTATGGATAGGGCACGGAGGCTCACACTTGTAATCCTAGCACTCTGGAAAGCCGAAGTGGGTGGATTGCTCAAGGTCAGGAGTTCGAAACCAGCCTGAGCAAGAGCAAGACCCCCCCCCATCTCTACTAAAAATAGAAATAAATTAATTGGCTAACTAAAGATATATAGAAAAAATTAGCTGGGCATGGAGGTGCATGCCTGTAGTCCCAGCTACTTGGGAGGCTGAGGCAGAAGGATTGCTTGAGCCCAGGAATCTGAGGTTGCTGTGAGCTAGGCTGACGCCACGGCACTCACTCTAGCCTGGGCAACAAAGCGAGACTCTTTCTTAAAAAAAAAAAAAAATTTTTTTCCTTTATGGTTCATGCTTTTGGTGTCCCCCAAATGTTTAACGAATTTAAAGTGACAAAGAAACCACTATGTTTTTAATATTTATAAAGCATTATTATTTAATCAGTAGTTATTATAAAGAGAAAAATGGAAGGAAGTCCAGGTAAAATGTAACAGTAGTAATAACACCCGTAAAATCTTAGAAGTTCTTCCATCATTTTAAAGTATGCAACCCAAGGAACAATATTCAAAGTAAGAAAATCCCTGAGGCACTGTTCTACTTTTGAAATATAACGATTTAGTATTTTCAAATTACCTAAACTGCATTATATAACAACAAAAAATTATAACAAAGACTGAAGACAAGCAATAATCTGTTTTAAAGGTACACTAGTTGAAAACTGTTTAAAGATGGCTTGACATTTTGCCTTGCTTGCAAAATAAAATTTATTTCTATGACTTGCCAGACATGATGTCAGACAGCAAAGCATAGACTCTTAAAAAATCACAAAGGCTCATATTACTTTATGTCCCTGGGTCTCAGCTAGTTTGTAACACTAAGGTTAAGATTAACAGCACATGTAAGATGTCTAACACATATAAGTATTCAATAAAGGATAACTTAACATATTAACTGCCACGTGAGTTGTACTTATTTAACTCATGCTAGTTCTGAGCCCGGGGCTCATGAAGCATATGTAACTCACATGTCTCTTCACCTCGGGAGCCGCATGAACTATTTTTCAATTGCATATAACTCACACACAGAAAACAATGAAAAATAACAAAGTTATCATTAAATTAGAAAGGATCATTGTGTTTTCAAAGTTTTTATTCTATTCTCATAATAAAACACTATGATCTCAAAGAAAAAAATTTTTCTAGTGTGGCAATGCATTAAACATTGAACTTTGGGAAGATGGTGAAAGATGAAGCTATATAAAGTAAAAGGGGCTTGGCAGGGTGGCTCATGCCTGTAATCTTAGCACATTGGGAGGCAGAGATGGGAGGATCACCTGAGGCCAGGAATTCAAGGCCAACCTGGGTAACATAGAGAGACCTCATCTCTAAAAAAAATAGAAAAATTACAAGTGTGTGCCTGTCGTGCTAGCTACGGTGTTTCCCTGAAAATAAGACCTACCCATAAAATAAGCTCTAGAAGGATTTCTAAGCATCTGTGCAATATAAGCCCTACCCCAAAAATCAGACCTAGTCATGGGCGTGGCTACGCAGTATATCTGCACAACCCATGCATTTTGTCACGGAGTGGTAAAGAAGACAAGCAGCCCTTCTCATCTGCCCAGGAGAGCTCTATGGCTCGACACGAGAGATTGGGGCCAATGGTTCTAAAGGAAATAGAGTTAAAAGAAAATTGGGATGAAATTCGGGGCTTGTAGAGTTATGATGATGCTTCAAAGGAAGACGACTGAACTGGATTTGAATAAATGTAGATTGTTGTACGTACTTAAAAAAAAATAACACATCCCCTGAAAATAAGCCCTAGGGTATCTTCTTGAGGAAAAATAAACATAAGCTCCTGTCTTATTTTGGGGGAAACACGGTACTGAGGAGGCTGACACAGGTGGATTGCTTGAGTCTAAGAGACAGAACCTAAAAAGCCAGGCCTTGAGATTTTTATCCTTAAGCAATAGAGAACTGCCAGGAGTTTTTAGGGGAGGGACTAGGACTCAGAGGGCAGGGAGAACAGTTGGGAGGCTACAGGATGATGAAGACTTTTGTTTGGATAAGTGAGGAGAGATGGATGTATTCAAGAGATATTAAGGAAAAGGAGTCAAGTGAACTAGGTGATAGATGTGAGGGATGAAGGAAAGTCAGGATTTTCCGAGCAACTTTCTGAGTGAATTTGAGTGAAGGAGAGGAAAAACAGCTTTGTGTGGCTGGGTGGGGGTGTGAATGAAGAGTTAGTGCAAGGAAATGATGGAAATCAATACTGATCTTTTAAATGATTAAAATATTTTAAAAGAAGAATGTGAGCCTAATTATAAGCAGTTTTCTTACTACAGCTCCACTGGTTTTGTCACATTATGACCTGAATGTTTTCAGCAATGTTGAAAAATAAGAAAGAGTGGATCCTGAAAGAAGGAAGAATAAATAAAAGGCTTATAAACTGTTATTTACAGCTACTGGAACATTTGTTTTTAAACCCCTAAGTGTGCTTTCAAAATAAGATTATGTAGTTTGCAAAAGCATTAATAATTTTTTCTTTTTTTTTTTGAGACAGAGTCATACTTTGTTGCCCAGGCTAGAGTGAGTGCCATGGCATCAGCCTAGCTCACAGCAACCTCAAACTCCTGGGCTCAAGTGATCCTCCTGCCTTAGCCTCCCGAATAGCTGGGACTACAGGAATGGGGAATCATGCCCGGCAATTTTTTGTATATATATTTTTAGTTGGTCAATTAATTTTTTTCTATTTTTAGTAGAGATGGGGTCTCACTCAGGCTGGTTTCGAACTCCTGACCTTGAGCAATCCACCCGCCTCGGCCTCCCAGAGTGCTAGGATTACAGGCGAATAATTCTTAATTGTAAAGAATGTTTTGTTTTCATATTCCTAAGCTAACTCTGGAAGGATATATAACCTTTTGAATTGGGAACCATATGAATGTAATACATATTTGAAAATTAAGCACATGTCTTTATTTACTGAATTTAACAGCTACAAAGCTGAATAAAGAAATAATTAATATTCAAAGCCTGGATGCTTAATAGATCTAATTTTTTAAAGTATAACTTATTTTATACCTGCTTTAGGTTCTGTGTATGAGCTATAAATTAAGTATATATAATCTGTTAGAGTTTCTCTTGTTGGTATATTTATGAACTTAACATTTTCTATGAATGCCTTGCTAATTTGAAACATTTTTTTAAAAAAACAGAAAAAATAACTGAATTAATCATGCCTAAATGATCCAAATTAAAAATGAATAATGCTCTTGTTTGAGTGAATAAGACTTACACTAAACCACAAATTAGGAAAAATACTGAAAAAAAGTTTAACAGTAAATAAATAGTCATTAGCAAATGAAATACTAAAAAAACAAGAAAAAAAAGTAAACTACACATGTCCTGAACACTGCTGGTTTTACCTTCCCCTAAATGTTGCTAAAAATGTCAGACTCAAATCATGAAAGCAGCCAAGAAGAATTTCTCTGAGGAGGAAATAGATGATGAGGAAAGTGCGATTTTGACATTGGTTCCAGTTAAAGATGAATCAAATACACAACAACTGGAATCAACTGTTTCTTCAACTTCTGATGTCAAACTGAACAAGCCTGGGAAACACTATCAAGTTCATCTACCTCCAACAAATGAACAATTCAAAGCTCTCCCAAAAGCTAGACATAAAGCACCAATTCTTCCCTTGTCAATCATTTTGCCTCCCATTAACAACCTGTGTCGAGACACTTTGCGGAACTGGTGCCAACAACTCAATTTAAGTACTGATAGCAAGGAAAATAGCAGTTTTTCTAAGGCTTCAGCAGCATGCTTGTCCTTAGCAGAAACATGATATGCCTGAAACATCAAAGGAAGATTATGGCCATATTCAAGGAAACACAAGACCGAGACCGAGAGAGCAACGATGCAGGAAAGTTGGAGATGAATGAGAAAGCAGAAGAGACTAATAGGGTTGAAGTGATATGGTCACCTTGGCAGTCTTCGTTGGCATCGTGGGGAAGGAATGCTGCAAGAGCTGCTCAGCCTAAGGCTGTGAATTCATGTTCCATTCCTGCTTTTGCTGAGGCCTTTCTGACGCAAGCCTCTGGCGTCAGGTGGTGTGTGGTCCATGGCGATGCTCTCTCAGCAGACACAAAGGGTTGGGTTTCCCTGCAGTTTCATACAGGTCAGGCCTGGGTGTCTGCCACTCCCAGGAGGATGATTTCTCTCTTCCTATTACCAGCCTGCCATTTCCCATCCCCAGGCCTACAAGATAGTACGTTATGCCCTGACTGTGCTAAGAGGAGTAAGAAAATAATGAAAGCATTAATGACAAGGGGGAAGAAGAAACAACCTGGTTTGAACACAGTGTAGGAGACCAGAATATGCCACCTCAAAGTATTAGAGAAAGATGGATGTACTTTCAGAATGTGTAACCTGGTATAAAGGAATAGGAAAGAGATCTGAAGGAATCTTTGTGATCTACAAAACAGAATCAAGTGATTAGGACTCCATGGTGAAGATGATTGACTGGGTGACAGCCCCATCAAAAGAGACTTTCTGGGGGCCTGAAAAGCCACTAACATAAAGTCACTGCAATTGATTAAAAAATAAATAAATAAATCATTTGGCTGGGCGTGGTAGCTCACACCTGTAATCCTAGCACTCTGGGAGGCCGAGGTGGGAGGATTGCTTGAGCTCAGGAGTTCTAGAACAGCCTGAACAAGAGCAACAGCCTGAACAGCCTGAACAAGACCCCATCTCTACTGAAAATAAAAAAATTAGCTGGGTGTTGTGGCACACGCCTGTAGTCCCAGATACTTGGGAGGCTGAGGCAGGAGGATCACTTGAGCCAAGGCGTTTTTTTTTTTTTAAAGCCAGTCAAATTTAGCAGTGGGGGGTTGAATACCAACTTTAGTGACACTAATGTGAATAAGTTCTGATAAC